CCCCCCCCTCCCCGGTTTCGCCGTCCCTGCTATTCGGTGCATTGTTTTCACGGCTATTGTTATGATGATTCACCTGGAACCGTGGTCCAGTGCAGTCGACTGTAGTCATGAGCAATAATTCTAAGTACCACGAAGGGCACTATTAAGGGAGTCGTATTCTGTGCCAATTGTGTTTCCAAAAAAGATTGATAAATTTAAAAATACCAAATAAATTATGAAAGATCAAAAATTCAGCTGTCAGCTACCCCCATGGATCCGGAATGACACTCCCCTACCCACCCCCTGAAGAAACCATGGGAGACTTTATGATCAGGCTACATTCATTAATTGGCAGCCAGTTAGAAATATGATAAAAATGACCATATCTATTTGCAGTTTATTTTTAGTGCCAAATATCATCAACAGCTGACTAAGTCCCTGAAAGCATGGCGAATGTCTTAAGGTACCTGAAGAGACCGGCCCATCTTTCCAGTTTGGTTTTCATTATCGTTATTACCCTGGTGATCATCACTTACAACATATCTACCGTGTGGAAAAGTATTAACTTATCAGGTGAGATATACCCATTCAGTTTCGTACACATGCATGACGGCGTACATAATCTTGATTTTTATTTTGATCACCTGCCATTTTGTTTACTTATGAGCATCGCGATTGTTACTCAAACCATGGCCAGCTGATCTGAGGGAAAATTATGTTAGCCAATCAGAATATCACAGTGTAACTTTTCCTCTTGAAATTTTGGAATTCCAAACCACCAAATAAGACAAAGCGGCATTGCTCMGTAACTAGCACTTGATACTACCTGAGGGTCAAAACAATGGAACATATTAACATGATAAAAGATTTCAATCCTCAAGAGAAGGAATTCTTTTTGTTTTTGACCCCCAGATTGAGCTGATTTTAGGTCTTGACTTCTGGTTAAAGTTCTCGTATCGAGCGAGAATTGTAACAAGGGTCTACTGTTCGAAAACTAAGGATTAAAACAAGTAAAATACAAAGAGTTATAAACGCTTTTGTCTTATGTTTTTTTTTTTTTTTGTTGGTTTTTTAAAGTGCGCACCGTTATTGAAGATTACCATGGCAACTACCACGACATTAAGAAGACATCAGGTCAGAAAGGAAGCAAGATTGACGACAATGAACGAAGAGACGACAGATCAAGCCATCAAACACATGAAGAAATTCTTTCCAAGCGACAAGAAAGAAACCCCTTTGAAACCCATATATGGGACGAAAGAAACAGATTAAGATTATGCGGCAGTGAATGGCAAGATAAGTATGCTCGACTACATAGTGACATGGTAGCGTCCAGGAAGAATGAAAAATACCTGGCATACACATGTCCAGGAAACAGACAAGGCTGCTGTGGATATGGCAATAGATTACGTGCAGTGGTATCACTATTCTACCTATCTATATTGACGGGTAGAGCATTCTTAATCAACTGGCAGACACCGGAGCCTATAGAGAACTATTTGAAGCCCAAGAGGATTCTGTGGAATCATTCAAGTCCACTTGACATATGCACAGGCCTAGAGACGCGCCGTCATTACTGGGGAACAGCCAGTGCAGAGATTCGGGAAGCTGAAGGCTGGATAATACGAGACAGTAAACACTTTAAAAACTGGTTTACAAGGACAAATTTGAGCAGTTATTTTGATGCTCCGATTGAAGAAGTGACTACTATTTAGTATTTTGTCGAGGGTGGGGTTAAAAACAACCCATATCTTATGCGCCGAGCAAAAGAATTAAACATCACGCCATTGATTTCTACTGGGCTTCCTAAATATGCCCTCATCGGTTGCGCATTTGATTTCTTGTTTGAAAAGTCGCGCGCGGTGGAGCATCTCCTTCAGTTGTGGAAAGACAAAGTACGTGAGGCTGGTGGACCGACCATTGGTGTGCATATAAGGACAGGGGATCTACAGTTTGACTATTTTTCTCGTGAGGACGAAAGAATTAATAACCTCAAAAACCTTACAAGACTTAATGGATTCTTCAAGTGCGCAAGACACGTAGAACAAACCGTTTTCAAGTTCAATGAAAGCACGAATAACGCKCTATGGTTCCTGGCAACAGATAACAACCGTGTGAAGGAATATGCCAGGAAAAACTTTCCAGGGAAAGTCGTCACCACCAACCTGACGATACAACACCTGGATATTTTACATAATACAACAATCTTAAATGATACAATCGAGTGTAACTTTACGACTGGATTCAATGGTTCAGCATTTTGTTACAATGTTGTACCATTTAATAAGACTCTGTTCTGTGCCAATCGTACAAATCACACCAAGATCAACGATAATAGTACGATATTCAACGATACTCATCAATATGCAAAAGGTATTACAGCAATGCTGTTTGAACATTTTATTCTCTCCGAATGTGATTTTCTTATTATCTGCGACAGCAGTTTTAGCTCTACAGCGGTAGGTCTAAGCATGCGCGGTGGTGAGTCGTTTGTTTTTGGTGATCGTGACTGTCTTGACTGCACACGAGCAAAAAATCTGAGAAAAATAAGATTTTTTAGGAAGAAAAGATCCACACATCAAATAATGAATTAAGGTGACTGCCTACTTTTGGAAATTTTTTTTAAAACTTCGATTTTCCGAATTGAAATTTAATGCTGATTCCAAATCTGGAAAGAAAAATAGGGTGTCCCGAGCTCTTTTTCGAGATAATCAGCATTTAATGGAAGTCTACGCACGAGCTTTTGGAGTAAAAAAATTGCGCCACCGGAAGTGATTAGAAAAAAATTAAGATTCATAAGATAATAGTTATTTGCAGACTCTATGATTGCACGAATGGAGGCTAGACAATCATTCTACAATAATACATGGATATTTTCGACAAAAATACAAAAAAATACATTGATTTGTCATATTTTGTAGTTTCGGTGCCCTTAAAAAATCTCATAAAGTGGAACAAAAATCCCTACAAAAATCTATTTTTTTATGTGTTACAGATTTAAACTTTTTCTAAAATGTTGATATAACCTAGATTTTTAGGAGTTTTTTCAAATGAGCTATTAAAAAATATAGAGTCCCGTGCAAAATTTGAGGCTTTTGCCCTATTGAAGCTCAAAGCGCGTATGGTTCTTCAATAAAATCTTGTAGATTTTTCAGCGGTTTTTGAGCTCGCGCTCATCGTGGGCTCAATTCGAACGTTCAAAAGTAGGCAGCCACCTTAAACAACGAAGAAAGGAAATTTAGATTAATGGTCGGGTCCTAARACCCTTACACTATGATCTGAATTCACAATGAAAATGACCAAACATGGGATGATAGTCTTCGCTTTGCACGGGATACTTGAACAGCTACGATTGAAACAGGAAGAGTAATTACGAACGGTTTCCAAAGATCAAGTAAGAAAGGAAGGAGGAGAGTTTTATTAGACTTGATATGATTTCCATAGCATTTTGTACTATACTGAAGATCTGAGGAAGTTGGCTAGCGCCGTTGTTTGAAAAGTTTACATTTGCGTGCGGAAGTATCAAACGGATTTTTTTGTTAAACTTTATACAGACATAGAGACTGAACAGATAAAAACAACAAAAAAGGACTGAAAATATAAATAAAGAAGAGAATTGAAGATGGAGAAATGGAGAACGGAGAGTCTTAGAAAGAAAAATACAAATCATCTTGAAGGTCTGTTCTGTGGTGCTTTGAAATAATTAAAACTTTTCGCTCTCAATGAAAAAAACTGTCGCACTTTAAGAAGCCCTTTCGGCACTGTACCGTTACAGTCTCTAAACGTGGAGAGTGCAGCGACCAAGCGAGAGACTATGGAAGAGTCTATTTTTTGATATTCCAAAGTGCGACAAGTATTTTGAAAGTAAAGACAACACTGTGCAACACTTTGCACTATTCATAGTCAACTTGAATATGTAAATTATGTCCCAGAGGAATTGTTAATATGTATTCTCACGGACTTTATACTAATACAAAAGGGAAAGGACGCCATGAATTAATCACTCTCATTAAACCACCGACGAAGAAGTATACGTTTTTTGTCCCACCCACCCGCCCACGAGCAAGCCGAGTTGATCCACATTCTGTCCCATTTATTGCTCTCCGGCCAGGATTTGTTCCAGGCCAGAGCTGCCTTTCCATATCTTAATATTAACAATAGATGGGGCAGAATATTACACTATCTAGTAGTAAATAGTGCTGATTAAACAATAGAAAACAATAGCATTAGCATAATTTATGCGCTAGTCAATTGAAACCCCCACCCCCGACCCCCGCGAAATACCGGGGAATTTAACATTTRAGTGGTGTTAAAATCAGACATTTCCCCCGGTAGTCGGGGGCACATTCACTGTTAAAACTCCCGCTATTGTGGCCCCGTTATTTTGGTTTAGTAGTCAACAAGAAACACATTTCACGCCAACTCCTAATTCTTGTGCTACACAGAGCCAATAGTGTTGTGTGTTTCATGCACTAAATATTCAATGCTCAATATTTTCATGGGCTCTGAACCTCAAATCGTGCGAAAACGTTTAGGTTTACGTCTAGTCAGCTGAGAATTTAATGGTATCAAATTGAAAATGAACAATGCTTGTAAATATTGCGAAGCAGTAGTTTTAATAGGCTAATCATGATCTGATTCTACATTCAAACTGACCGAAAACGACTGAACAAAACCCGCGTACTAAGAACCTGGGTTTTAAGAACCTGTTAGGCTAAAATTTTCACTTATAAAAAAAAGAAAAAAGAAAAGAAAAGAAAAAAAGCACCCTCCACATAAGAACCTATTAAGGCTACAATTTTAAGAAAGCTTGCTGTAAAAGTGTATAGGTAGAAACTGCTATAAGCTTGTTTGAGCATGTGTTTTGTGTGGGACACTGCTCTTTACTAGGCTACGGCCTGCCTGTGCCTGGAATCACAACGCCTTCTGGGTATTTTTGTTTCCAGGCCCTTACATATTCATACGAGCTTTAAGATCCCCGCTCGATTCCCCGCTGAGAAAAAGCTTCTTCTGTGGTTATCTTAATTACGTCCACTTTATACAGAGTTAAAGAGAAGACAGACTGGGTCTACGGTTTCAATGCGAGGAGACACAATGATGATCATTCAATATTTTGATCATAAAAACTCAGAGATAAGAGACGTGCCTTGTTACTTTGGTTGTTATGGAAACCAATGTTCGCTCGTTGCGGGTTTTGAAATGAAGCTCAAATTAGCTCTATTTTCTTAAGATGTATTGTGAACTGGGATCAAATAAGGCAAAGCTTGTTTACATGGTATGGAAATGGATGAAAATTAGACTGTTAAGCCATTTGTTTGTCTTTCGACTTCAAAATGTAGCAGTGGGACATTTTATTCCAATTAAAAATAGAGAGATATCACAATACATATGAATACATATGTTAGAATCGCGCTATATGAATATTAAATTAATGGAATAAAACTGGTTGCGTTCGAAAGGTTTTGTTCATTTTAGTTCATTATTATATGACCGTGAATCTTAGAGCCTGGACACTAGCAAATCGAGCAATCTGATTGGATAGATCGCATCGCGGTCTAGATTCTCCGGTACTAACCGGTCCGATCGCATATTAATCTTACGGCGAAAACATTTTGTCCTTTTTAATGAAAAGTGGTCATATAATGAAACTCTTATCAACCGAGCTTGGTCGGTCTGTACGGGATAATCTTGACCTCGGTCAAGATTATCCCGTACAGACCTCCCGCTCGGTTAATAAAATCTAAATATCGACCAAAAGTGACTGGTCAAATCTCTAAAAGCATGGCGAATGTATTAAGGTACATGAAGAGACGACCAGTCAATATTTTTAGATTTGCTTTGAATATATCGTTATTACCCTGGTGATCATCACTTACAACATATCTATCAAAGGTGAGATATACAAGATTTTTTTCGAAAAAACGCAATAGTTGTATACTTCTGTACTAAATAGAAGACCCGAGTGCAAGAGAATTCTTAATTATAGGCCTTTTGCAATAGATTGACACGTGATTGACATTACTGGTGGTTTTACATTGGCAAATAGTTATTGTTTAATATAAGTTGAAGTGATCGATGATATTCTTTTGTACAGAAGAAAACATTGCAGTAATTATTGTCCAAAGTTTGATAGAATAGAGCAAATGTAATAATGTTTGAATTATGACTTAAATTCTTTTGAACCATAACAACTTTTGATTTGATAGCTCAGGAAAGGATCATTGACAGCGTACATGCATTATATTGGTTTCAAGATGGATTTTTTCGTTGAATTTTGCCCTATATATGATAAACGGGTAATCGTAATCGTGTCGCTTCACGAGTCGTGCAATTTCAAAACTTTGAAAACACTCGTGAAATTAATCCTTAATTTTACCCGGCCCCATACGATTACCTATACTAATCCTGTGGAGGGTTGCCTCGCATGCGTCACGTCTYGCTCACGTCCCGTTCGCGCTCCACCCTTTTGGGCTGCTACTTTTATATTTTCTTTAAAGAGTAGATGTCAGCAACTATCAAACAAAATCGAAATTTGCTGGCAACAGTCAAAAAATCGATTTCGCTTATATTCAAGTATAAGGTAGACATATAGCCAAGACAAATCGTGGTATACTTCGTTTTTTGAAATATGGCTTTATTTCCGAGAAAAACGAGGAAAACCAATTTGTGCATAATTGACCCTCTGAGAGAGCCAAAATATCATCCAACTTCGAGTGCTTCGCGTGCCTTGCAAAAATGTTTATGGACTTGATTGTTAAAAAACTTTTTTTAACATTGTCTTGGCTTTAAATCTGTGAAATTGTATTATTTTCCAATAAATTTATGTTGGCGAAAAATGTTTTATTACCAAGTTACTTTGGCACGTCATCAAATATAAAGAACTTTCAAAAAATATTTAAACCATGTGCTATATAAAATAAAACGTCGATATTTAGTAATTGAGAAGTTAAAACAATGTTCTAATCTTGAGTAAAGTGATTGTTTTGGGTATTTTGTTCTGCGACGAGTAATGGAGATTTAAAATTGGAGAAATTTCGAAGAAAAAGCGGCCGTTCGGTACGATCAAATGAATTTAAATATTTCCTTAAAGAGCAAGATATTTAAAAAAAAGCAAACTACTAGCTTGAAATACTATAAAACTACATAGTTTGAAAAGATGGATTAATAAAATTAAGATTATCCACAATAAAGGATCATTTTTCCAGAGTCAAGTGCTTTTACTAACAACAACAGCGTTGCGTTACCCAAAGTTCGTGAACGCGCGGCATTCTAAAAGAAGTGGGTGTGGCCTTTGATGCTACAGCGTCACACCTTTACATGTCACGTTCGTATTTACAAAGACGAATTATACTGAAAATATCCTCATACGTTCTAGCTCCTTTAGAAGTAGGCTTTATTGGACCATAAAGGATATTWATATACAGTCATTATCAATCATTACGCTTTAAAAAAAGGTAATATGAAAGTAAAATCCGTATATCGCTGGCTGATAAACGATTTTTAGAACAGTCACCATTAAAAGTATTCGTAAAGTATAGCAATTTTCTTCAACTTTAAACTCTTATTACTCGTATATACTTGCAATTGATCCCCGGTGTTGATGAACATACTCCCTGAATAGTGCTGTAAATGCAATGATAACGTAGTTGAGTATTAAACTGACTGATTAGCATTCTTACCAATACTTTCTTATAATTGCCGAAAGGTAGGAACATCCCAGGTACATTTTGCATTATTTTATTCAGTACCAATAAATGTATTTGGTGATCCACATGTTTTTGTACCATACAGAAAGTACGAACCCATGACGTACATCGTGATGACGTCACGGTTTTGATAAGCAAACTATCCCCAAAACAAAGTCGATGCCCCTCTATTAATTTCGCTTTTCGAAAGTACTTTATAATACCCAACTTTTGAGAAGAAAAAAACTAATTGCTAACTAATTATTGGTCATTTTCTAGAGTTCTGTGAGACGAGCAATTCATCTTTTCAGTAAATATGGCTGATAATTGACAGCTTTACGTTGTTCGCGCGTTTTTTATACCATAAAAAGGGCGAACTTCCACGTATTCTGACGGCTAAACGTGGTCAAAGTGCCAGGCATGATTCTTTGAAGTATTGGTTCAAATAAACTCTATTGTATCTTATCAAGTGTTTTTAGGGCTGATAAAACAATCCGGCTGCACGCCGATTTTTAAACACGTATTATTCTTTATTTCTATTGTTTTTAAATTTGTACTTGACACCTTAAACCAAATTTGTTGCGATAAAAATGAAACTCTAATGGCCTTTTAATGGATTTTATATGAACCCAAATGATTGTCCTTTTAAGTTGTGAAAGGAATATATTATAGCGTTAATGACCCGGCGTTAGCGTTAGCAGCTGTTATATACTTTATACTGGCCCGTGACAGTTTTTCTATGGTTCACTATAGTTCGGCGCTTCAATTCAGTGCAAATGAAAAAAAAATCTTGTTTGTAAAGCCTTTGACGTGGTAAAAGCCAAACAAGAATGTTGGTTACCATCGAAACCGTTGTTCACTTGCTGCTTAAATTAGCTCCAAGTTTTTACGGGTGTCGGGTGTATTATGAACTGGCATCAAGTAATGATAAGGGCAAAACCTGTTTACATGATATGAAAAGTAGACAGATAAACCAGGATTTTGTATTCTTTTGTCGTTCGCCTTCAAAGCTAAAGTAGCCGAAGAGAGAGATTAAATCTCCCTTTATAAATATTATATTGTTTTTAAAATTGCTTCTCAAAAAATGTTACGATAGAATAAGACTAGAGGCGTTTGAGAGGTTTTCTACACTATATTATATTTATTTGCTGAATACTCATCAAGAAGTGACTGTTCAAGTCATATCTCCGAGAGCATGGTGAATGTCTTAAGGTACCTAAAGAGACCAGCCAATTTTTCCAGTTTGGTTTTCCTCATCGTTATTACCCTGGTGATCATCACTTACAACATATTTATCATAGGTGAGATATACTTCTTCATTTTTTCTTTTCTTTATTTCACGTTTTTTCTTAATTTCAAACCTCAATGTGCATTGTGTAAAATTCTGTACTAGATAAAAACGAGTCAAAGGGGACATCTTCGGGAACAGTACAGGGATAAAATTCTGTCGCTCGTTTCTCGCTTCCAGAATTTTCATTTACCACTAGGTTCCTGAGTCCAAGAGGGTTATTTTATTAGTCGTTCCATAGTTAATGTTTTATTACCGATGTATGCTATAAAAAATTCAATTATGTTATGCGGAGAAATTCCATCTGAAGAAATATCCCAAAGTACCCTACACAAAAATCAGGKTTTTTTTTGTAGTTTATTTGCTACTATTAAATGAAATAAAGTTAACAATATTTTGAATATTGCTAGATTTCGGAACTTGGTACGATGAGGACAAATGTTTTAGCCCTTTAGCTTCCAGTCTATATGATGGTAGCAGTAGTACAGCAGCATGTTAAAAAGCCACAACAAGGAGGATAAAAGTTAATAATTCTTCAAGTGTGAAAGGTTCATTCATCTATTCATCTCGTAGGATTTTGAATGTCTAAGGAATGAATGGGTCTAATCTTCAGTTTTACGAGATCCATTCATCAGCAATAGCTTTTTATCGTCATTGACAAAGCCTATTATAAATAGAGCAAAATTCTAGCTTTTGTAATAGACTATTTTTCTATCTTTTTCAAGATTCCGCGTTAATATTTCCGCTATATATTGTTATATAAAACTGTTAAGACTGCTTAAATGAAAATAATCATGTTTATTTAACATGCCTTTTGCATGGCTTTTGAACTCGAATATTCCAGTAAAAAAACCCTGAAAATTAGTATTTTCCGCCGCTTTACACCGAAGGCGCTGGCTAAACGAGGAAACGTTTTCTTGAATGTTTCCAAAGGTGGCAAAACTGCCAGGAAACACGACAGTCTCAACATTGTTTAGCGCAAGCGCATTTTCAAGATAGAGCGAGCGTTGCTAAGTAACGAACCTTTTTAGAATTTAATGTTGACTTTTGTGGCTAAAAGAGGAAACATCGGGAACATCGTTTCCATGTGTCTTGGATCGAAGCATGAAATGTTTCTGACGCACAGCTGAAACATCTTTGCGTCTTGGAAGCAAAATTTGTTGCACGCAGCAATGTTTCGCATGTGGCTAAACTGGGAAACATCGGGGAAACATGTTACAGCCATTCTCAATCACACGCGCCCTCTAGAAAATGTTTCTGTCGCGACGAAGAARCTTTTGGTGGACGTCAATCAAGGCGTTCCCATGACATTCTATAGGCAAGTAACCTTTTAGCTTTGTATTTTCCGACAATGTTATTACATGGAAACTTCTTGTGATTGAAGTCCACCAAAAATCTTCTTCGTCGAGACAGAAACAATCGCTTGAGGGCGCGTGTGATTGAGACTGGCTGTAACATATTTCCTCGTTTAGCCAGGACTTAAGAGGAGAAACTAATACAAAGTTGTAAAACTACACCCGCAATATGTGTTTGAAAAGCTRTATATTTTCTTTGGGCCGCTGAATCGAAAAACTCTAATCAGACATTATAAGATTAAAAGGACTGGAGTAGTGATTATTTATATTCATTACTGATTTTTCTATTTTGAATAGAAAAAAAAACCCACTTTTTTTTTGCATTCAGACTAAATTCATCACACATTCGAGTTGTGTGTTAAAATCACTTGTCGCTCGACCAATCACAGAGCCCGAAAGTCTATTCAAGTGTAAATGTTTTATACGGCAAAGAAACTCGGCAAGAAATATTTGACAATGGTTGGAAAATTAACATCACAATGTGAGAATAACACGATACTTTACAAAGTCTCCCGTTAACTATGAAAAGGCGAAGAAAGTTTGCGCATGCGCGAATTTCAGAAACAATTTCCAGACCTCTTTTAACATATAAAGTGATAAGTCCGACTTACTTATGTTTTCTGAAAACAGGTTTTGTGAACTAACCTAATTAAAAATAAATATAACAAGAAAGAGTAAATCAAAATTAGAAAATTTCTGGATTTTGGGTTTGATACCTTTTGTGTAGCAACTCGGCCAAACATCACAGAACTTTCTTTGAACGTTTTGATTGCTTATAACTTAGCTGTTGCTTGGTCAATCAAAGCCAAACTGCAGAAGCCTAGTAATTTTGATGTGCTCTTTCTCATCATAAATATCGTTTTTAATTAGATTAATTTTTAACAGGGTTCGTGCCGAGGTAACGCTTAAAATTCAAGGACTATTCAAGGAGTATACAAGGACCCAAAAACGAATTTTTAAGGAGTATATTCAGCTAACTATGCCAAGGTTTTACACAGTGGTTGCACATGGCTGACTTTCAGATTTTCCAATCTTTCTGACTAGATCTATTTCAGAACCATGCAAGTAATGATCAATGCAATAATTCAAGGAGTTTTCAAGGAGTTTAGCTATAAAACCATAAAATTCAAGAGCTTTTCAAGTGCCCTTAAAAACGTGAATTAAATTCAAGGAGTTTTCAATGAGTTTAAGGAGTAGCACGAACAATGTTAATACTCGTTACCAGTCCTCCACTCATTTCCAAAGTTGGCAATAAGCCTTTTCATAGTTTAAGAATCGATACCACTGCGCATGCGATTTTATCCCGAATTTCTGACCTTCTTTTGTTTAATTAAGAACCAAAGAAGGTTTAGACAAAAGAAGGTGAGAAATTCGGGATAAAATCGCATGCGCAGTGGTATCGATTCTTAAACTATGAAAAGGCTTATTTGCTGAATCTCTCAGTGCAGTTTTTGCATTAGCCTCGCACCCAAGAAAATTTTGAAAGGGTTCTATGAATTTGATGACTGTGATTAATGCTGACCATTATTATGATTATTGTAACAGAAAAAAGGAAAATCAACGACGCGCAAAGAAACATGACAAGCCAGATCGCCTTGCATCAACAAAATACCTTTGCAAAACGACACAAAAGAAACCCCTTTGAAACCCATACATGGGACAAGAGTAACAGATTAAGATTATGCGGCAGTGGATGGCAAGATAAGTATGCTCGACTACATAGTGACATGGTAGCGTCCAGGAAGAATGAAAAATACCTGGCATACACATGTCCACCGGGAAACAGACAAGGCTGCTGTGGATATGGCAATAGATTACGTGCAGTGGTATCACTATTCTACCTATCTATATTGACGGGTAGAGCATTCTTAATCAACTGGCAGACACCGGAGCCTATAGAGAACCATTTGAAGCCCAAGAGGATACTGTGGAATCATTCGCCTCCGAGTAACGTAGAAACGCGCCGTCACTACTGGGGAACCGCCGGCGCGAATAGCCTTGAAGCTCGAGGCTGGATAATACGAGACAGTAAACACTTTAATAATTGGTTTACAGAGACAAATTTAAGCAGTTATTTTGATGCGCCGATTGAAGAAGTGACTACTATTTGGTATTTTGTCGAAAGTGGGATTAAAAACAACCCATATCTTATGCGCCGAGCAAAAGAATTGAACATCACGCCATTGATTTCTACCGGGCTTCCTAAATATGCCCTCATCGGTTGCGCATTTGATTTCTTGTTTGAAAAGTCTCGCGCTGTGAAGAACCTCCTTCAATTGTGGAAAGACAAAGTACGTGAGGCTGGTGGACCGACCATTGGTGTGCATATAAGGACAGGGGATTTGCAGTTTGAAAACTTGCCTCCTAAGGACGATAGATTTAATAACCTCAAAAACCTTACTAGGCTTAATGGATTCTTTAAGTGCGCAAGACACGTAGAACAAACAGTTTTCAAGTTCAATGAAAGCACGAATAACGCGCTATGGTTCTTGGCAACAGATAACAACCGTGTGAAGGAATATGCCAGGAAAAACTTTCCAGGGAAAGTCGTCACCACCAACTTGACGATACAACACCTGGATATCTTACAGAAAAACGTAAAGTGTAGGGCTCACGTAAATGGTTCGAAATTATGTAACAAATCAGTTAATACGTCAAATACTCATCAACATACAAATGGTATCATAGCAATGCTGGTTGAACATTTTATTCTCTCCGAATGTGATTTTCTCATTATCTGCGACAGCAGTTTTAGCTCTACAGCGGTAGGTCTAAGCATGCGCGGTGGTGAGTCGTTTGTTTTTGGTGATCGTGACTGTCTCGACTACACACGAGCACAAAACCTGAGAAAAACGATATTTTTTTAGGAAGAAAAGATCCATCAAATAATAGATTAAAGAAATGCAAAGGAAATTTAGACGAATACTCAGGTCTTAGAACAATTAATATAACAGATGTGGAAGTATGAAAGTGCTGTTTTTATCGGAGATGTTTTGAGGTGATTTGTTTATGTTTTGATTCTTGTACTAAGGATGCATTGATTTATGACTAGTTTAAAAATGTTTCAAGATGCCTGGCAAAATTAAGTCACCAAAATCTTGCGGTGCATGTGATGTCATACTCTGTCACCACGTTGGTTAACTTGCAGCCAATTATCAGGGAAGGTGTCAATACCTCATAATTTTTTCTCATATCCTTGCATTATAGACTTGAATTTAGTCTTTCTTCTTTTTCTTGGCTCCAATAAATTGTTCATAAGCGAATTCAAGCAGAGACTTTTCCTTGATTAGCACTGCAACAGCCACCAAGAGGAGACAAACAGCTCCTATGCCAATGTGAAGTATACGATAGAACCAGCCATGATTACAGCACAGTACCCTTTCAGATAATGCAGTAATGATGCCTGACAATGCATACGTCAATAAAACTAAGTAGGAAGGGAAGATCCCTCTGAGTGGCTGAAGATCTGGAGTTGATTTGAAATACTTGAGGATAAATGACAAGCTGTAATAATTGATAATAAGATCAAAATAAATATTAAGGTGTAAATTTCTAGTGTTTTCATTACATGCCTCTTCTGAATTTTTTGAAATAAGGTGTATTGTAGTCCAGCTGGTACCATCCAGCTTCGGTGCAAACATCATTTTGTTCATAGAATGGAGTCATTTAACCCGTGAAATAACAAATACTAGTCAACGTATAATAGTCAAATAGACACGAAAGAAGATGATGGAATTAGGGTCTACTAAAGTGTATTAGTCTAATATCTATTTCACAGGTTTAATGACTTCACTCTAATGCCTTATTCAGTATATTTCGTATAGAAACCTAACTATTGAAATAAACTAAAAATAATGTCAGACCCAGTTATTATCAAAATTAATTTACCTGTGAAAGATTCTGAGTATCATGTTAAGGCAGTTTGCAATTATAAAACCAGAACTTCCAAAAACTGTGAGGTACCAAGAAGCTAGCAGGAAGAAGCATGAAAACATCATCATCTTGTAGTTATAGGAATCCACTTCATCCTTGTTCATTGCAGCAAACATAAAGCACTCCGTTATACCATTGATGGCAATGATCAAGACATACAAACAATACCAACGTAGTAAACTGGGACCTAAAAGAGAAATATTAACATTTACATGTAGCAAGTGTATAAATAAGCAGTACATATAAGTACATATAAGAAGTACATATAAGGCATATCAAAGAACAATGAAGGGACAAACACCTAATTTTTAGCTTCACCTCTGCTCAGGATTGTACAATCGTGGAAGGAAGGAACGGGTACCCACCAAGGGAAGATATACCCTACCATACACACAAGCCCTATTTTATTCACCACTACTAAGAAGGGTGTCATCATGGGCGTAGTGAGTACCCACCAACAGGGATGATAAAGGGGTCTACAAAGATTTAAAGACAAATAAAAATAGGAGGATAACCAATCATGGAAATTAATATTAAATTTATGGAAAATTATTTTTCCTCATCACAAATCATGAAAATCAAAAAAAATCACAATCACATGAATACCCCTTACTGCCCCTTAACCAAGGGAACTACCCTATTGTACACACAACTCCTGACCTATTCACCTCTACTAAAAGGGGACACCATGGATGCAGCAAGTACCCACTAAGGGAAGTACCTTCACATTCACACCCAATAGATTCATCACTATTAAGAAGGAGCTGCGAAAGATGTACTGAGTACCCACTAAGGGAAGTACCTTCCCATGTACACCCAATTTATGGTTTTCACGGTGGCCATGTTGGAGGAACTTAACAAAAGAATTGTTGATGAATTCTTTTGTTATATCCTCCAACATGGTCGCCATGTCTTGGGAATGGTTGAAAACCATCACTAGATTCACCACTTCTAAGAGTGAGGGGGAAACCAAGGATGTAATGAGTACTCACCTTCACCACCACTAAGAGTGGTACCACCATAGATATCCAGCAATAGAAAAGAGTAGGCATAACCAAACACCACAATAGTCAGGCCTATCAACACCATAAACTTGAGCATCACTTCAAGAACTTGTGCTGCCATCTTTGCAGCCTCTGGGGACTGTTCTTTAGCCTTTTTGTCTCTAGCTAATATATTTGCAAAGAAGGTATAGTAGCTTTCTTCTATTGGCATAAAAACACACCTAGCTACTAATGAGCCTAGGTTGTTAACTACATCATATACACCTTGCTCTGCAAAAGTCAGGACCTTGAAGATAGTCATGATAAACCTTTCCCCTTCAGTTAAAAATATTTTCAGAAAAGATTGCTTAAAGAAACTCCAAGTGAGATTTGCCATTTCTAAGCTTATCAATGGTTTTTTTGCTACAATGCTAGGAAAGAAATCCCTTATAGACTTCAAAGGAAATTCCTCAGGCAATTCTGTTTGAATCTTACCCATCTGATGGATGAAATACATGTAGTAAAGAATTACGATTAGCAAAGAGAATGAAACTTGGGCAAGGCAAAAACAAATGATTCCCAAGTTTGGGAATGTGATCACCAGAAAGAGCGTTAGGAAACATCTCGAGAAGTTTGCAATTCCTTCTATAACCACTTTGAGGCGAAGAAAATGAAAAACCTGTGAGATAACCCAAAGTTGTTCACACAAGAGTTCTACAGCTCCAGTGCTGGCAAAAACTAGAACTCCAAGATTATAGTTCGACACAAGAGCCGGGTCAGGTCTCTCAAGATAGTATATCCATATGTATCCAAGGATAGAAGATAAAGCAACTCCAATAGGAAAGACGCACCATAGTAAATTTATAACCTGTGGCCATCGTTTCTCAGTGGACTTGCTCAGACAGGCTTTTCGAAAAGCTTCACGCGACACGAAGGTAATCGTTTGTTGTAATAACATTAGTCTTACGTTCACTACGCCCAGCATGTCCCTCGTCGTGTACCGAAGAAGGACGCCATTCATAATGAACGTCAAAATTCTAAAACTAACTTGTAAAATCACATTATAAGATGCGGATCTAAAAGTGTTTCCCACAACATTCTGTTCATCCGCCATCTTGAAACACAACTTTTTTCCAGAATCGCCTTTTTTATAAC